AAGCTTGCACTGTGCTAATTCATTTGGTTGGAGTCAAGGAGTCACAAGAGATGAATGAGAAGGTAAGACCTTATCTACTCTCCCACAACACTCTATATATCATGACATTCTTGTGAACAACCACTGCATCCTATATAATAGTTCTCAGTACGCTCTGCGTGAAAAGTAGGAGAATCAGTTTTACAAGTATTCAGTGCCATGATGCTATGAACAGAATTATGTGCTTTCTCATTTTCACAACATATTTTTGATCTGCAGCCAATAAATGTATCCCAGTTTTAAGTGGATTCATATTAAATCCATCGTGCTTAAGCCCTCCAAGCAAAATAATGATAAATGGAGCATATAACTAGATATAATGAAAATATAATTCCAGGAATTCAGCTCAAAATCAGGAACAAGACTGAGTTTCATATGTATACATATACATTCACAAATTCATTCTTAACTTCAAAAGCTGAAAGTTCTGCTATTTAAAAAAAAAAAAACAAGCCCACATTGATATTAAGATTACTTTGGAAAAAAAATACATTATTCAAATTTTGTCAAAGCATATTGCGAGAACTTTTGCTAATAATTTATCTTGAAATGATTACTGCCACCCTAGTGAGTTTTAATGCACAGATTTTGCATCCTTGGACTTTTTGTGTTCTACAAAGTACACCGTAGCCAAGGGCAATCGGCCCTCCAGTAGCGGGGTGCTTCCGTTTGGCTTGGTACATTTTCACTCTTTCGAATGGGGGCTGTTCCTGGGCTTGCACAAGCTCCAAAGTGGTATGAAATGCATGGGTGGAAACAGCAGTTGAAGGTGAATGCGGTGGATAGCTATATGTGGACACAAAAGTGTATATGGACTTACCAGCAGGAACAGCTCTTGGGAGTAAGGTAGGAACTTGAGGTTGCAGTCCTGTTACCACTTACCCGTAACTAAGCCTCATTGAGCTTAATGTGACTTCCTTAGGACTGGGCTCAGTGCTTTATGTAGCTTGAAACCACATTCATTCTCCAGCAACTCCTGTGGAAATTTTGGAATTACTTTTGCCTGAGCCTTTGGAAGGCTGGACAGAAGACCTGAATTAGCAAGGACTGACACACTAGACTAAGGTTGCAGTTCCACACAGATTCTTGGGCATTTTATATTTATATTGCGATTTATATTCTGCCTTTTTCCTACAAAGAGCTCAAGGCAGCTTACATCATCTCTCCTCCTCCACCTTATCCCCGCAACAACAACCCTGTGGGGTAGGTTGGGCTGAGAGTCTGTGACTGGCCCAAAGTCACCCAGTGGGCTCCATGGCTGAGCAGGAACTAGAACCCAGATCGCCTGAGTCCCAGTCCCACGCTCCTAACCACTACGCCACACTGGCCCTCTATAAGGACAGGAGCCCTACTGAACTCGGTGGAGCTTGTGACTGACCAGATGTGCACAAAATGAGACATTAGTGTTTCTCAAGAGTCTCTAGAATTCATTTCCTCATGTCTCAGAATTTTAGTGGTACAAGAAAAAGAGGTAGAAATGTGATGATGTGATTTCTCCCCCTAATATAAAAGTTGGAAAAGTGTAGAAGGCTCCTGAAATGGCAGGATATTATTTTGTAGATGTCATTTGAAATGAGGACATGTATTTTTCCCTTCATAGATAATGCCTGCCCGGCATAAACTTTTCAGGGATTTAGTTTATGTGGGAAAGTTTGACCAGTGTTGTAGGATTTGGTGCCACTTTACTGTTTTCTTCATCATAATATCAACCTCATTAAAATGGGAGTGCATCTCATCTTATGCATCTCCCATTCCTTTTAGTGGGACTTGGGCAGCAGTCCTTAGCACCTGATTGCAGTCTAGATAAAAATTACCTGTCTTTGCCATTTAGGTGTGCTTTGTCTTCTTTTATCACTGCATAGTGAGAAAAAGCTCATGCCATGTAGGGTTTTGTGATCTAGTTCTTATGGCATAAATCAATATATAAATGCATGACAGTGATTTTTCTTCCCCTGAAAATAGGGTCTGGTGGCTAGGTTTCTTGTTCTGCTAAAATATGTAGCTCTGTCTAGAGACAAGTACAATCCTTAACAGAAGGTTGTAACTGGATTTACTAGCTTGGTGATAAGTCAGAAAGAACTGGAATTATTATCCCAGGTGTCTAGCATCTGCGCTTTGCAAATGGGTTTTTGAAGCTGCAGCTTTTTCATGAACAAGGAGCAAAAACATTCCCAGTTAAGAAAGCCATTCCTCAACCTCTACCGACTGCATTCACTATGAACTTAGTATGGTACTCTTTTGACTGCACTTTGCAGGATGAATAAAAATTCTTTAAGCCCACGAACTAGACTTACAGCAAGACTTTTATTTCCCCCTCCTAAACGGGGTGGGGGAGCCATTCCTTCCTCTCCCAAATACCTAATTTTTTTATAAGGAAAGTGGTTTCTGTGTGCATCACTTTATTGCTTGCTCCCTTTCATGCATTTTGTATGATGATTTATGAGCTAGAAGGCAATGCCATGCAAGGCAGTCTTGCCACTTTGATTCAGCAGTTGGTACTAATCTGTTGGCTAGAAAAGTAGAGTCACCTTAGAAATAACTACATGTAAGAGGACAAGAAATGCCACACCATCCTCTCTAAATGGGACTTTACCTAAGCAGACTGTAGAAAGTTAAGTTCTTGATCCAGAATTTCCCAGATCCTCGCAAAGGAACGTTCTGCACCAAATTACCAGCTCAGGATACTTTATACCTGGAATACTATTACAAACAGCTCCTTGCACTTTATTCTGGGTTGACTTCCTTTTCCCATGTAAACACGGCATTCAGTGTATGTTAGTGGGAGTGAAGGAGGGAGGGAGGGAGGGAGGGCAACCAGGAAGCCATATTCATACACAGTTCTCTGTTTTACTTTCTTTTGGGGGGTAGGATATGAGTTGAGCATGTATTCCATAACATGGCTTCTCTTGAAATGTTACAGAAACAATACAATTTCCAGAAAAGTAGCTGCATTAGTCCATGGCAGCAAAAATGGCAAGCCATCTTGTGGCATCTTATACACTAACCCATTTCGGTTGGCAAAAGTTATCATGCTCATTGTCCACTTTAAAAAGTACCATGAGCCCGATGCAAATAGAAGTTGATTTGATGTACCATGTGCACAGCATTCACTGGAGAAAATAGGCTAGACTAGGTTTAGCAACAAGGATCATACAAAACACTATAGTGTTCTTTTTTTCTCCATTTGCAGTTTCCTGTGCATCCATACCTCTTCCCAAAGACAGCTCTCTGAATGGGAAATTCATTCCAAGAAAGAGCTACAAGCATCATTTCAGGTTTCTGCTGGAACTGTGCTCACAGTTATTGGACATAAAACCTGTATAACTTGTCCTTCTTTTCTCGGGAACATCCTAGATAATGTTTTCCCATCTCTCCCATGCCCTGCAAAATTTCCATGAACCCAACAAAGCAGAAGAGATAGGCCTATGTGACAAGCAGGAATGACACAACCCACATGTCTGTACAAGTGGACCATAGTCTTTGGGTTCACATTAGAAAGGGTTGCCCTATAATTTCTGCAGAAATGTTTAGGTTTTGATATGCTTAACAAAGTTGTTGCTTTGATCACATTAATGCCATGTTTAAAAACATGGAAACCCAACAGTTTGGAACGAACAATATTTGAATTCTTAGGAATGAATGCATGTGTGGTCATTGCAAGGAGAAAATAAGGCTGATGTGGCAGTTTCCTGTACGAAGGAGTCGGTCCTGATGGGGACAGTATGAAAGAATGTTGCTGCTCTATTCTGAGCAAAACAGGGCAGCCCACTCCAAGATACTCATAATGGGGAAACACTGCAGAAGCAGCAAACCCAAAGAGGTAAATGCTACGTGGGAATTGCTCCTTAACCCGAGCACGCTTTCGGACTCTGAGTGTGAGCTCAGGTCAGGATGAAACTTCATCGAATTCCTGGTGCTGGGGAAAACTTGCCCAAGCAGTGCTGCAGAGGCTGTGTGCGTGCGCGCGCGCGCGTGCTGGGCCAGCGGATGTGTTGGAAAACAGGGGCTCTCTCGTGTCCCAAGGAGGCCCAGTCTCCTGCACAGGCGACAAGCGAAAAGCACCGCCAGCTGGAGGCTCGTAGGGAGCGCGACTCTTCCAGCGAGGGCCATTCGGCAGACCAAGCTGCTCCGCACATCTGCATCCCTCGTGCACAGCGTCGCAACGGGAGACGCCGGAGAGGCAGCCGGCAGAGAGAAAACGGTTCAGTGAGGACCTTGGCAGCTCTCTCTCTCTCTCTCTCTCTCTCTCTCTCTCGCTTTCTGCGAGGGGGTGGGGAGATCAAACATACCCTGCCCCCCAAAGCAGCGCCGTCGCCTGCGCCCTTTGCTAAGTAGCCCTCAAAGGTTACGCAACTTTGCACGCTGTTCCTCCTCCCCCCTCCCCGAGCGGCGCAGCGGAGGCGTTTTGAGTGGAAGGAGGACTAATAACTCCAGGCTCTTGGCACACACTTCAGCGCAAGCAAGAGGAGGCGGCGTTTGCTGCTGCTGCTGCTGCTCCAGCCGCCGCCGCCGCCGGAGACACCTGCTTTCCGGTGGAGCTGCTCCGGCCGCTGATGAGCCGCGGGGGCGTCCTCCGCCGCGCACCCCGCCCCGGTCGCTCGGAGAAGCGCGGGCTGCTCGCCGCCTCTCTCCAGCAGCCACTCGCGGGCTGCCTCGGGCGGGCTCGCTCCCTTTCCGCTCGCTGCGCAGCTCCCTGCCGTTCGGAGGCACCTGCCGCCGGCTTCTCCTCCTCCGCCGCCGCCGCCGCTTCCTCTCCATCTCCGGCGGCCGCTGCGCAGCTCCACGGCTCCTCCGCGCCCCGCTCCGCTCCCCGGGCGCTGCGCTCCGCCCGGAGGCGCGGGGAGCGCCGTGGAGCAGCCCCTGCCGCGGCGCGGGCGCGGGGAGCCAGCGGGAGCGCCCGAGCGCCCGCCCGCGCCACGCACCGCCCGCTCCGCCTCCTCTTCCTCGCTCGCGGCGGCGGCATGTCGAACTCGGGCAGAAAGGACTTTGACGTGAAGCACATCCTGCGCCTCCGCTGGAAGCTGTTCAGCCACCCGGCCGCGCCGCCGGGCGGCTGCCTCCCGCCCGACAGCAGCTTCGAGCACTGGGGGCCGAGCCAAAGCCGCCTGCTGAAGAGCCAGGAGCGGGGCAGCGGCGCCTTCTGGAAGCGAGCCTCCTCGTCGTCGTCGTCGGGGTCCTCCTCCTCGTCGTCGTCGTCGTCGTCGTCCTCCTCCTCCTCTTCCTCGCCGCCCTGCGCCGCCTCCTCGCCGCCCCTCAACGGCACCTTGCTGCCCGCCACCCGGCTCCATGGACTGGCCGAGCCGCCGCGGCTGGCCCCGCGCACCGTCTTCTACGTGGAGTCCCTGGAGGAGGGGCCCGGCGGGGGCGGGCTGGACGAGCTCCCCCGGCTGCGCGAGAAAGCGCTGGCGCCGCGCGAGGCCAAGGAGCAGCCCGCGCCCTTCCCGGATGGCGGCGGCGGCCAGGCAACAGGTGACGGGGCCGCGCACAGGTACGGTGGCCGCGGCCCTCCCCTCCCCTGCCCTCCCCTCCCCGCGGCGCGGCGAGCAGGGCGAGGCGGAAGGCTTGGGCAAGGGGCGAGCGTGCTGCGGTGCGCACCCGTCCGCCGCGCGCGGGCCACTGCGCTTGCCCTCTCCGGAGCGTCGCCCGGGTCGCCCCGGGCTGCCCCAGCAAACTTAGCCGCTTTGCGCCCCGCTCCGGCGCGCACGCCCCTCTTAGCGCACCGGCACCTCTTAGCGCCCCTCTTAGCGCCCCTCTTAGCGCACGGCCCTCTTAGCGCACCGGCGATCTTCCCCTCATAACCCCCGAGCGCCCAGTGCGCGTAAGGAGACGCGGTGCGGCCGGTCTCAGCCAGACGCGCGTCGCCTTCGCGCTCAGCGCTCCGAGCCTCGAACTCGAAACCTTGACCTGGTCTTCTAGCTGCGAGGCAGCAGTCCTAACTTGGCGTGAGCAGCCCAGATCCTGAGCAGGTCTTCTTGAGAGCTGAACTCATTGGGCCGCACAGATCTAAGGGATGCTCTAGCTGACCGTGTTCAGAGTGCACAGATAAGGTTACATCTTCGGAGATTATTAATATGGTGGATTGTACTTCTGAGCAGCACATCTGCATGTTAAAAGGCAAGGCTAAATGTGTGTCTAACTCTCCCTTTAACATAAGTGGAGTTTAAGATGATTTAACTCTGGCTGGGTCAAAGTTAATAACTGAACTTCGCTTCCTTCCATGTCAAAGATTTTGCCTGCTAATGCTGTTTCAGATCCACTTGTGAGCAAGAGTGTTTTGCAGTGTGCTAAATGGTAGGCATGTGGATGGAGCTTGAATGGCTCCACAGGGGAGACTTGTTTACTCATGGTTGTGCGTGTGAGCCAGGGGCTCACATTCCACGTTCTAAATCTATTCCATTAGTCGTGACTTTGCATGGTCCCTGCTCTACAAAAGGATCCAGGCTCAGGCTGTAAATGCTTGTCCCACTCAACCCATAGCTATGCACTTGCAACTGTGTTTAAACATCCCCGCTGATGTCAGAAGGGTTTAAAAGCACTTCATGTTGGTTGAGCTACAGCCATCCTGATGTACCCAAAAGGTACTCATTCTCCCCTTCCTCTTGGGAGTTTTATATCAACAGGGTTTTTTTTTAATCCATGTCAGTTTCCTCTGACTGAAGGCTCATGCTTCCTTACTCTCTAATAACAAGTCGATGTGTCTGATTTGAAACAAGCATTTCAGACAGTTTCATTTGATCTAGACTCAAGTAGAGCTTTGTCCCCAGAAAATGTTTCTGTGCCAGGGCTTAGGTCTGCAACGCATGAACGAATACTGTCAGGAAAAGTAAGTTTGAATACGTGCAACATGTCTTTCTATTTGCTAGGCTAGACTCGGTGCGGCTCACTTTTAAAGATGAATTTACAGGATTAAACTGTAAGTAACCAGAAACAGTCCTCACTTATATCCAGTGATTAAGACTTCCAGGAAGATTTCATCTTGCCATTTGAATCTCTAGACTCATCTCTTAACTAATTGCTGGTGATATTTGCTTGCATTAAAAGAATAGGAAGTTATTTAAGTCCTTTTTATTAATAAGGCAATGAAGTAATGTATCATATGAAAAGCTCAACATAAACAACATTTCTGTAAACAGTGTTTGTTGTGATGCCTCCTGAAATTATATACAATTATGACACTCTCAAAGAGACCAGATGGGGCCCTTGTCAGGTATTCCAATACTTGGGTACTCTTACCATGAAAACCATGCTGCTGAAATTAATGGACTTACTTATGAATAAATATGCTTTGGGTTGAGCTTCACAGGTATAAGCAACTAATAACCCTACTCATTTATCTTCAGTTCTGTTTACAGTTCCTTTTTATGTGAGAAATTATGCCTTTCCCTGTCTCAGTTTGTAAGACCAGAAGCTCAGGAACTATGTTTCCTTTCTGTGCAGCTTTTTTAATAGGTTGCATTTGATTCTGCTTTCTTAAGTGACAGAATGCCAAATCAGTACTGGAAAACATTCCTAATTGTCACATATGAGCAGGCAAATTCAAACAGAGTTCAGCACATGTAAGTCGATTGGCTGAGCAAGAATCTGTAATGCCTAGATATTTCCCATTAAAACCAAGTGTACTTAAAAATGCTTAACTTTGGATCAAATTTTGGAGGCATCAGCCAAACACAGAACTTTAAAATAGTGATGTAAAGTTAATGGATGGCACTGGCAGAATCTTAACCAGGAAGGTGCCTTGGAATATTTCGTCTCTGCTGTTAAGCAAGACTGGATTAAATAGTTCATGTAGCTTTTCAGACATTAAAGCTGCAACTGTACACACGTACCAGACAGTAAATCCTGCTAAATTCTGCAGGGCTTACTTCTGAGCAAACGTAATAGGATTGCAATGTAAGAGTACAATGCTATCCATGCCTGCTCAAATGTTAGTCCTGCTGAGTTTGCTTCAAGATAAATGGCTGTAGGATTTTAACCAAGAATTATACTCAACCATATGAACTTGTTTGATATAACATGCGTTTTGCTCTCTGTGATGTGGCTAGACAATCCACCACTGAGTTCAGGGAACAGAGAGTTCTAATGGCATTTAACATTAGACTTCTCTGGTCCTTTCTTAAATGATGTATCTAGAGTGCTACCTTTCAGAGCTATTGTTGCAAGTTTCTAAATTTTTCTGTAATGCCTGTGCTTCCTCTACAGGCTATCAACTGATAGCTGAATCTGTGCTTGGTTACTATTTTTCCATGGTTCCAGTTACTCTTTCCCAAAAGACCAAAACATAAAACTTTTATGAAGTTCTATGCGATACAGTTATACTCACTCTGAAAACAGGAGAAAGGAAAAGCTTATTCTACCTTCGTACACAGGCAGGTATTAGGAGAAAGTAGCTGGCACACCACTATGTAATGATTAAAAGAATGATATATACCTTCAGAAACCAAATGTTCAAAATAGAATGTAGTGAACAGGAAAGAGAAACCCTAACAGGTAAGCAATGTGACAAGAGTAGGGCAAACTAATGGAAATATTTTGAGGCTTCCTTTCCCAAGCCTGACATTTGTGAAAGCTGTAGCATGGAATAGTGTTATTTGCAGTAGGCTGAGTGTTTTCAGCAAGAGCCGGTAGAACATAATGTTGCTGTTAATGTTAATAGACTGGGAGCTTGGTTAATCTGGGTTCTAGTCCTTTCAGCCATCAAGCCACTGGTGACCTTGGGCTAGCCATGGACTCTCAGGTTACCATACCCTGGAGTGTTGTGAGAATAAAATGTACTGGAGGAGAACCATTTATGCCATCTTGGGTTCCTTACAAGAGGTGTGACAGAATACAGAAGACAGGTGTGACAGAATAATGCTATTCCACAATTGGCAAACTTTGTTTTTCACCTTCAGTAGCAGGTGAAAAATGTTGCCCTGAGAGTCAGTTCATATGCTACACAAAGAGGCACTGCTTTAAAATGATCAGTCTGTTCTAAGCCTTCCAACATCAATTCGTTCTCAAGGTGGTACCAGAGTTCAGCAGCAAACCTGGACGGAACGACTGCCGCCCTCTCTGTAGCTCCTAGTCCTATGTTCGCCATTGTGTATGCCAAGGAGAGATCAGGTGGAGTGGGGTGTGGAGGGCACAAGTAGGGATGCCAACTTCTCCTGCATCTGCTCTTTTGTCTCTGCAACTCCCTGTTCGAGTATTTGTTAACACTTTTGCAGAAAGCGTGTTGTGAGTCCCTGGGCAAGTGAGGAAACGTGTCTGTGGGGTTTCCCTGGAAAACCAGTGAGTGGGAAACAGAAAAGTTTGCTGCTAGGGAAGATGCCCAACCTCTTCCCTAGCATATGACAGCTGCCCAGCCCAATCGCTGCTTTCACTTGGAAAACAAAAACAGTGACTTGCTGTTGTTGAACAGGGTGGAACAGCCTCACCTGAAACGGCAGGTGGGGACCTGCTGGAGATCAGGACTCCAATGTGGGGCTGCTCACCTGAAGAGACTGCTTCAAGCCATTACAGTAGAGGAGTCACTTTCAAGGTGGTGGAGCTGGGAAGATGATCTCACACAATTTGACTTTTTTATTGGGAAGTTTTGCAGGTATTCATTTATTTTTCATACTTTGGGAGTATCAGAGCATCCATAGCTGTGCTGGTGCGTCTTCAGAAAGGAGAAACTGAAAAGGTAAAATAATGCCTTCTTGCAGAGCGGTTAGTTCAATCACGTTTGAAAGCTTTGAACTTGAAGAGAAATTCTTCAGGCATGGCCATTTAGAACAAAGATATGATGGGATGTGTTATACTTCATTTATTTCCTCTTTTCCAGAGATTATTGCCCATGCTGTCACTGTTAACACTGCAGATGGATGATACATTTCCAAAGAGTGGAAGGTGATATAACTGAGCTTGTTGGATGTGCACATATATTGATGAGTTTGCACAACAGGACAACACACCGTGGCAACAAGTCACAGTGGGTTGGTTGTTTTGCAAAGTACATCTGGTGAGGCCGAGAGATCGTCTCGGTACTTGGGTTCCTTCCTCCCACTCCTTTCACCTTGTTCCACCAGGTAGTATTCCGTCAGATTCTTCAGGCAGGAATGAGTCTCTGCTCCCTGGCAGCTGTAACTGCAGGCTGAGCACAGTTTCCTGCAGTTGTCCTAGAATCCCTGTTAGACAGACAGGCCCCTGTTAGCTTCCACCCTTGGCTGGGACAACATGCAGGGGGGAGCCCACTGCTCCCCACCCCCCAGGCAGGCAGTCCCACACACACCGCCTCAGCCAAAGCTGGAAGTCAACTACATTGTGCTTCAGGACACAAACCTTGTTTGGTCAGTGTGGACAAATAATAGAGAGCCAGTGTGGTGCAGTGGTGAAGAGCATGGGACTGGGACTCTGGCAACCCGGGTTCGAGTCCCCACTCAGCCATGGAGCCAACTGGGTGACTTTGGGCCAGTTTCACACTCTCAGCCCAACCTACCTCACAGGGTTGTTGTTGTGGGGATAAGG